GAAGTGCAATGCGTGTGTGTGTGTGTGTGTGTGTGTGTGTGTGTGTGTGTGTGTGTGTGTGTGTGTGTGTGTGTGTGTGTGTTATAGGAGGTGTACAGCATTCAGATGAAGAGAAAAAGAGACGATGAGAGAGGACACAAAGAGAGGAGGATGCATTGGAAGGCAAAGCCAGGGGTTGAGGACAGAGGTTTACTCTAAAAGGGAGCTTGAACGTGAACACATGCAAAGGTCATGCCTGATGCTACAACCGCAGAAAAGTGTCCATTTGGACAAAATTGAATTCGATTTTTTGTTTGTTTGTTTTTCAAAACTAAAAGCTAAGATTAAAAGTGCCCAAACTTCTTAAATCAGTCAGATAATGTAATATGACACACACAATACATTTGAACTTCCTCGGACTCACACCAAAAGTAAAAGTACTCACATTAATGAAGTACACTAGATGTACAGGTACCTGTGTAAGAAATGTAACTCTGGTAGTATCAACCCATCCATTTTCCGATCCGCTTCATCCTCACAATGGTTTCATTAGCTTTAAAGGGGAAGTGTAAAGAGACAGACAACTACTCACACCTTTCAAGGAGTGGGAACTGAACCCAGACTGCCTACACCACTGGTGCGGTGTCAAACATACGGCCTGTGGGCCGGAACCAGCCCCCGAGGAGGTTCGATTAGGCCCGCAGGATAATTTTACAATGAAAAAAACCATACAAGACACGGAATGAATATTTTTAATAAGATACAATTCATGGATTATCCACTAGGGGGCAAATAGTTTTCTCTTTCGTTTATAAAGTGTAGGCAGGGATTAAATTTGGATTTATATGCACGTGTAAATGGTTTAAAAATCCTTTCTTTATAAATCTCATTGTCTTTAAATGCATGACTATATTTTTCAAGACCAATTACTTGTTAAAGTTATGTGCCTTTGTTCAATCAGTAGGATCAGTTGCAATGCATATATGTGAATGAAAAAGTAAATTGCACATTTGTCTGAGGAAATCTAAGGTGTTTCATGAAATGTTAGGTAAAAGATATGTTCATTAAATTTCAACATTTTCCTCACATTCTTGTGCTTCGCGATTCCAAAACAAAGGAAAGACATGATATTTTGGTTATTTATAGCAGAGTATGGTATAATTTTAATGGTCCGGCCCACTTGACATCGACTGAGGCCATATTTGGCCCACAATGTGAAATGAGTTTAACACCCCTGGCCTACACCAAAGTCACCATCAGTGCAACTGCAATAGTCACTCATTAACATCCCGGTACTCCATGATGTGAGAGCAGACCATCAGCAAAACGACCAATATCGTCATGAAAGTGAGAAGATCTTAATCCTGTTTATTAAATGAGATTCGTCCAGAGAAAGTTGGTCGCAGCGCTGAAGCGATGACTGACAGTATGACAAGGAATTGCAAGAGAAGGACGGGAACGAAGGGGAGGAGGAAGAGGTAGACAATAATCCTGTCTAATTCACTTAGGGTTGCGCTGAGGGAGCAGGACACTAAGAGGATTTTGGACATTCTCTAAATTAGATCAGCAAGAATAACAAACTGCCAGAAGAGGTGGAGCAGAGGGCTCGAAGAGGGCGCGCTGCGAGAGGTGGCATGACCCAAAGGAAGCGGGCATGAAGGAGGCAACATGTGCCATGAGTATGAAAAAAAAAAAAAAAAAAATCAGAAGACGTGAAGCAGAAGATGACATTTTTTCCATTTTGGGTTTCCACCTCAAGACATGGAACAAAATCAAGAAAGTCATGTCAACGTACACTGTGCAAAAAACTCACCGACACAATCTAAGAGGAGTGGCCATCGACACAAATGGACAGTGGTCAATCAATGCCATAATCCAAATAGTTTGGGGCAACGCTAAACTCACACTTTTAAAATTAGTGATATTTAACAAGGTGTCGAAATTGTAATCTGCGGCAAAGCCCGCAGCAGACGTGTATGCTGAGGATGACAGTCGCCGGTTGATCCATTCATAGTGTAATGCTGATCCTGTTAGCACTGCTAGCTGCAGATCATTCAAACCTACTTACACCGCTGTAGGTGTGATTTAGCAGCATTACTGCGCGATTACAAATCTTCTTTCATGACTTCTGGTTTTGATTATGGTTGGCAACAGACATCAAAGTCACGCAGAAAACAGCAATGGAAGTAGCACTTGGTATTTTTACAGGGCTGTCATTATCCATATTCTTGATCTGTTGTTCATATATAGTACACATATGTGCATTTTGCATGGAATTTTACCATTTGGGATCATGAATATTACTTAAAAAAAAAAAAAAAAAAGACTGAATTTGGTGCTATATGTGTGCCGTGAATTATATGTACATGGATGAGTGCTCATCCTCGTGCTTGGCGCGTGTACGTTTGGCGGCATCGGGATTAGGAATCGATTAAGATGAAATTGGACTGCGGGCCAACAGGAGGGAGAAAATGGTGCGGATGGAGAGGGGGAGGAGGGAGCCTGCGATGGCAGAGAGGCTGGTCAGCTCTTTCAGCCTGTGGCATGATTACAGTGTGCCTTCGGAGCAGACTGGCCGCCAGCTTGTTTCCAGAGGATTAGAGCTCGGAAAGAAATGAATCATATTTCTAAGTCCAGAGTGTATCTGTGTATCTGTGTGTCTCTGCACTCCCCTGTCCATATGTTGCCACTGGGGGAGGATTACAGGACCCTGTCTATCTATCTATCTATCTATCTATCTATCTATCTATCTATCTATCTATCTATCTATCTATCTATCTATCTATCTATCTATCTATCTATCTATCTATCTATCTATCCCACCTCACTCGACATATTCACCTGGGATGGAGCATGATGGAGGTCACCTACCATCACGTCCAACTCTACTATCCTTTTTCGGCAGATCTACTTGTGCTCGTGCAAATCTTGTGTGACAGTTGACACCTCCTCCAAATGTGCAAGGGCCAAAGACAGGAAACTTGTGCATGGGACATTCAAAGTAGTCACACTTGGTAAATCACGCTTGGTGTCACTCACTGTCTCTGACCAGTACATTTTGATGAAGTCAAAATGTCCAAATATGGGGACAGTGCAAGAGCAGCAACTTGTGTTTTCAGTTTTGGCAATTAGTGACATTGTCACTGTGTTTAACTACTTTTCAAACATCTTTAGCTTGAGAGCTTGACTCTGAGGGATACAACAAAATGATCTTGCAAAGGTTTGGGGAACGGGTGAGCCACTGAAGAGCCTCAGCGCCCTCATCACGCGGGAACTTCTCACACACTCCTGCCACACGAGTCTTGGCATCATCATGCAACAGAAGGAAGCCAAGGCCAATAAGTCTGATGATGACGTCACTGTATCGAACAGCAGCCAGGGTACCCGTATCGAGCAGGTATGGTTCTCCAAAAACATGCCTCACTTGAACATTACTGTTAGACCACCAGATATGCCTGCTGGAGGATGCTGCAATATAGTCTGCACTGTTTTGGTCAGAGCAGGGCTCAAACCTTGCACCTCCAGTTCCAAAATTCAGGTTCTTACAGATGCAGTCAACATAACAGAGATAGCGCTCTGCATGTATGCTCTGATCAAGGAGCAGCAGCATGCTGGAAGAAGCCAGACAATTTTTACACAAGGTTATTTAATGTCTCAGAAACATTAAAGCTATCTATCGTGGTAGTGGTGCAGAGTGGTCAAACAAATACAGGAGACAAATGAAATATACAAAAGAATAAGAATCATTCAGAAAAATAAAGCAGAGATGATATTATTATGCAAAAGACAAAAGTAGAGTAAATTTAGAATGAAGAAGCAGTTACCAGCATTGTTCCTATTACTGCTACTTTTATCAGATAAAACCCTGAGTTGAAAAAAAAAGCAGATACCAGAAAAATATAAACAGGGGGGGAAAAAAAAAGAAAGAAATTGGCAGTTTCCTATGATTTGAGAACGAGCAATGCTGTTGTATGGAGTGCTTACATGAGAGGTGGACGCATTTCCAGGGTTAAATATGTACAAAAAGACAACACAAAATATTTTAGCAATGGCCGTGCTATCTAAAGAAATAACATCATCGATGTTGATCACAGTCGTAATACCGATAACATCACCTCCAAAACAAATGACAACGATTTTGACTTTTACTTTGACAAATCCACAGATATTTCAAGAAACAACCATTTTTAAGTCTAAGAAAAAAAAAAAAAAAAAAAAGATACATGAACTACATATATTGATACCCATCACATTTTGACATGTTGGATGGACACTTTGAGAGAGACACCAAACTCTCTGTGCTAAGGGTGGGCAGGTGCTTTGGCACCTCCTTTCCCTTTCCCTGGTGCGGTCGTTTTGCCCATCGGACGTGGAACAAAAATATAACAAAACAGTCATTGATAGATTATCGCAGGAGCGCTTAAATTCTGCCAACTTCCTGTGAAAAGGAGCCGGACGGGGGCTATTCGTTGGGTGCCAATGGCCACAATGCGGCCATTGTTGCCCACCGGTTGATCCTATTAAACTAACAATGCAAGAGCCATTCCCCTCATGATTACAAGCATGCTCAAAGGCAACAAGTTTGTACTGCAGTCACTTCAGGGACTCGATCAATCCTCTTGACTAGGATCACACGCAGGCTGAAGAGGGTCAGTATCAAACAAGGCTACTGGGGGAGTCATCGGCTTTGATGGCCCTATTGATCCGCACCTCTTAAAGGTTCCCGTTGGGAGAGCTGATCCGATGGGCTCAATGCTTGTTGGGTGGGATGATGGAAAGCAGCCTTATTGTCAGCAAAATACAAGACACATCACAAAGCAAAAAAAAAATTAAGCAACCCCCCGTTCATTTGTCTTTGACTTTGCTCAAAACGGCGGTTAATGGTGAAGCAAGTCAGCTGTTGTGTGGCATACAGGATAAATCAGCAGTTTGAGTTGAGTTGAGTTCAAAGCCTGAATGTGTCTTTCACGGTGCATCATGAAATCACATGTTGAAAAGTCAAAGTTTCAACTAAAAATATCGTAGTACAAAACTTTTTAATCATGCTCATTCGTTAAACATGATCCAATTTTTGGACAGGTTTGAAGTGATGGCTGATGGCATTGACAGCCTAATGTGTGGTATTAGTGTTACCTCATTTTAGCAAATATCATCCAAGTCATACACTTCTTAGATGGAGCAATAACTATCATGTCAATATCTTTTCTAGTTTTTTTTTCTATATTGGATGGTTTAGGGTTGAGCTCAGCATCAATACAAAAAAAGTATTCCAGCCACATTTCTTTGCTCAACTTGTCAAATCAACGACGGTAATTTGCTCTATTCACCCAACTTTGACACTGATTCAAAATGTCTTCCCATATAGCCTCGCTAGCCGACCCCTCACTTGATGCTATTTACAAGACCTGGAACTTCCAGGAGTTCTGGTCTTTGTAGTCCAGACAGTCTGCAGCATTGAAATTGAGCTTCCAGGCAGCTTGGTCCTTGTAGTCCAGACAGTCGACGGCTCCGAAGCCAAGCGAAGCGGCCGTGTAGCCTTGGGAGGAGAGTGAGGCGGGCGACTGGCTGAGGGGACCGCCCATGGAGGAGGCGGTGATGGGGCTGAGGGCACCTCCTGTGCCCGACAGCTGCGGGTGCATGGGTGACAAGTAGGAACTACAGTCCAGGCCGGTGAAGTAGGAGGAGGAGCCTGCGTAGCTTTGGCTGTAGGCAGGGGCCTGGCTGTAGGTCATGGGGTAGGCGGTGGCACGCTGCATGCAGGGGGTGGTGGAGGCAGACAGGGGGTCCGGCAGAGGTGAGATGGAGGCCGGGCTCCAAATGGACACTGTGGCGCTGGCAGAGCTGGAACTCGGGGTGATAGCGGTTCCCGGGGGAGGTGGCGGTGGGCTGTAGGGACCGTTGGCCGGGTTGGCATTAACCTCGGCGCTGGCCTCCCGAACCGGTGAGGCCTTCTTTTTAGGAGGCCGCGGTTTAGACTGGCCTGTGCTCTGCTGTTGCTGTTGGCGACACTTGGCACGGCGGTTCTTGAACCATACCTGGATGATGGCAAGGTCACATAACATTTCATTTTAACGCCAACGTCAAAATGCATGTGAAAACTTGATAATTCCGAAAATAAAGAATGGAAATTTTTTTGTGAGCGTTGTTTGTTTACCTTTCTTCTGGACAAACAGTCACTCTGTTCATAGTTTTTGTTCTTTTTGTCCTATGATTGTAATTTTGATCTCTATTTATTGTGGTATGTTGAATTAGATTTTATGTACAGTATAATATATATATACATATATATATGTGTGTGTGATATATATATAAATATAAAATACACACACATACACACATACATACAAGAACACAGCTATATTTTTGGATGCAGGTTGGTGGCACATCCATCTCATAGTTCTGAGGTTTGGACTTTCAATCAGGGCATGTTCTCTCCTTCCACATGCATGTAGGTTAGCTGAGCACACTAAGTTGTCTTTAGGCATGAACAAGTGAATAGATGTGAATGCTGGTTTATATTTTCCTCGTGATTGGCTGGTCAGTCAGTCACAGATGTACCCTCCCTCTTCCCAAGGTGCAGCTGGGGACATCCTCCACCTCTGTAGAAATTTAATGAATGATAGATGTATATTCCTATCTAAGCCCTTTCCCATTCCTCCCTTTGAGTCATTTATTACAGTGGTTCGAAAGAAATAAATAAGATGAGCAACTGCAGTTCAATAAGTGCATGTGCTTAATAATGTGGCACCCTTACCTGGACTCTGGACTCGGGCAAATTTATCTTGAGGGCCACCTCCTCCCTCATGAAGATGTCTGGGTAGCGCGTTTTGGCAAACAGAGCCTCCAGGATGTCCAGCTGTGCGCGCGTAAATGTGGTGCGTTCGCGACGCTGCTTACGTGGGGTACCTGCGTGGACAAAATTACAATAATTAAATTGAGAATTATAACGAGTGTATTCGAATCGTTATCATTGTTATTATTACCACATTACTGAAAATATATTATTATTATTATTGAAATAATAATAATAATAATAATAATAATAATAATAATTGGATTTCGTTTTCAACATCTGGTCCTTTCTCATTTGTTACTCGACACAAATGAACACATACGATTAGAACTATGATTGAACTAAATGAACGGCGTTCAGTTTTATGAAACAAAGTGAAGAACAAAAATATTCAGTCTGTATTTAAAAAGTGTATTCAGAGCCAGGCTTGGCGTCCAACATGCCTTCTGTTATTTCTTCATTATAGATGACAGATGTTGCAAAGCACGGCTGGCTCAAAACCGAATACAAAGAGAGTCACTTAACAAATTTAGGTTACGTTTTAAGTGCAGCAGATTGCGATTTGTTTTAATGTTAAAATCCGTGTGAGAACAAACGGCCTTTCGATTCACACACGTTTCGTATTGTTTTGGAACTCTATAATCCGCTAAAATTATAGGTCAAGTGAACACATGTTCCAATATCGATGCGGAATCTCAGAAAAGAACCACGCGTTACTCTCACCGAGTTCCCGTCAATTTTTTTCCGCATTTACAGTATCTTATTTGATTTATTTATTCATCCACGTCGAAAAATGTTCAAAACGTAAGCGACCATTTAAGAGTTGATCAAGTACTCACTGGGGTATCCAACGGCGGTGGTGTGCAGCAGATCCATGCCCGGGCCGGACAGAGTTAACCCGTTCACGGCGTAATGGGGTTGCTTAATGTAGGACATCATGCCTCCTGTGGGCTTTAAAACACTCCCTCACTCACTTGTTCTTCTTCTCTCACAACACGGGCCTCCTCCTCCTCTAGTTTGTCTGCGGGCTCTCTCTCTCTCTCTCTCTCTCTCTCTCTCGCTCTCTCTCTCTCTCTCTTTCGCTTGTGATTCGTTCCACGTATTTCCCCACTATTCCGCTGTGTCCGCAGCGTGTACGTGCGTAACACCTTTGAATAGTTCAGGTGCGTCAAAGTTAAGAGTGACAAAAAGAAAAGTCAAAAGTCAGCTGCTCACTAATAACGCTACAAAGTCCGACGTTCGGGAAAAGCAGTGCGCATAGATGTGTCCAGTTGGAAGGTGCGGAAAGATGGAAGTTCCAAAAGAGTGCGCGCGTCTGTGTGAATGTTGAAAAGTGGAGAATGGATCCGGGTGGTCCTTCACGTCAGGCTGAAGGCAGGAGAAGATTCGCCTGGAAGCAGTGTGGACAAAGTGAGGCGAGAGAAGAAGTGGTTGGCTAATTAGAACTGACCCAAGTAGACACCCACATCAACCGCCTCCTTCCGTCATCCCTCCGTTGCTCCCTCCCTCCCTTCACTGCTCTATCTCTCTTTCCGTCTTTCTCTCTCTTTCTCTCTTTCTTTGTTAGATCTCACGAAATATAATATATATTAAACTACAACTACACTAACTTTTGTCCATATTATGAACGAATTTTTTTTCTATTAAAGGTTAATAATGGATTCTCGTTGAAACTAGTTATAAAGGGTACATAGTTGTTTCTTGTTTCATGAGCTATTTATCATGTCCGGCCACTTCTGCAGGTGTCCAATGATTCCCATCAGTCTGTACAAATGGTTAAGAAACGAACCAATGCATCAGGCCAAGGTTGCACGCATGCAATTGAAAAGTGTGCGTTGTTTATTGTTTAACATGAAGCTGCTCATTGGATTGGCTCGTGGGGAATTTACAGACGTAATCATGGAAGATCGTGCATTATAAAGAGGTAAATATTCATGATTATATACGGTGTACTGACATAAAAGCTCGATGGAAATAACTGGGTGACTATAGCGCGGTGTGGAGGAGAGCCACAGGTCGGATTAAAGGCAGCACAAAAGAGCGCTTGTTCTGCAATTAAATCCGCTTTGGAAACCCAACAGAAATGGTCCCACCAGCCCGCCCGAGATTCATAATTACAACAGCAGCAATAATAATAATAACAACAATAATAATAATAATAATCATAATAATAATAATAAAGAAACAATATTCGGCATTTAACACGTGCGAATAAAGCGCTCCCCACTCAGTAAAGCTCAGAAAAATATTTGAAACATATCACCATCATGCAGATTCTGACACGACCGCAATTCCAAACAAAAGCTGCAATATAACATATTTTGTTTCACCTTTGACATTATTTGTTTAATATTGTATCATTTGTGACGTTGTTTGCTATTGTTGTATTATTTGTTTGAAAAGGCTGAGATTATCCATGTGCAGATGTCTGTGGTTAGCGGTATGAAATACATTTTTGAACGTGGTTTTATATTCTCAGCAAATGAGCAGTGATGGGCAGAATTACTGAGGGGATCTGTTGCAAAACTATAATTGATGTAAATGTATTAAAGCTAATGTTTAGTAGTTTCTTTCGGTTTGGTCTTTTGTTGTTGTGGTTTTACACCTTCCCGTCGCTCCCTTGGTTATCGTTTGTCGCTGCGCAGTTCGTCCCGCAGCCTCCGAGTGCGCCGAGACAATTTCACATGATCCAAATCCGATTCTCTTTGCTTGTTAATTGAATCGGCTTTCTTATAGTTTAAAATCCACAGACACACACGCACATCGACATGAAAGACAAGCACACAAGCCCATGTAGCTGCGGCCCAAAGTGTATAAGGGGTTTATCTAGCCGTGTAAAGCCAAAGCGGAGATATAAAGACACACACAGAGCCGCAGGCAGAATTTCACCGGCGTGTTTCAATGTTTCCAAATCTCAAGTGAAATATCTTCACCTACTCCATGAGGTGAGTGTGTTTCGTAAAGGCCTGTGACTGCGTGAGCGTGTGTGTGAAGGGGTGTGTGCGCGTGAGCGTGTGTGCTGTTTGACGCTGCATCGGGCCTACCTGGATGCTGCTCGTGCGCGTTTCAATCGCCTTTGTTTTTCTTGCTTTGCTGTCATGGTAGTTGTTGAACTAAATTAACATGTGAATCAGTAAAAGATACATAAAAACACATCGAATAGAAACAAAAATAAAAAATAAAAGGGGCCCCGAGATGCCGGTGCTTCCGTGTGCGCGCAACTGAGGCGTGCACGCGCGTTCCCAAGAATACAGCTCCACTCGCCTCACCTTTCCAAAAAAAATGTCATGCCCTCGCTAATATAAAATGTAGATTTGTCATTATCTCACCGCGAGTGTATAGAAACAAACTGAACGGCATATCTAATACATATTATATTTGCCCTTCACGTCCTTTGTCTACAATATAAATCGAATATTTAGATGAAGCTGTTGCTTATTTTTTTCCTTTTCTTTCTCTGCTTTTTTATCAAGTAGGAATTATCCATTTCGATTCTCATAAACGTAATAGCCGATTTCGAATCGAATTAATGTTGGGTCACACAAATTGGGGGGAATAATCGAATGATTTAAGGCTTTATAAACACACACCCCTATAGTGTTCATTAAGCCCTCTCTCTCCTTCAAAAAAATAACTTGTTTATGAATTGAATGAAACTAGTTATAATCACATGGTAAAATAAGTTGTTTATGTAGCAATTTGCTTTGCCCGACGGTCTGATTTTGTCAGTAGATTGGACGCGCTAGGACCCGGAGCTCAAACAAATTAAGGACAGCCACCACATAAGAGGCTTAGTATATCTAATCTATACTTACACACACACACACACACACACACACACACACACACACACACACACACACACACACACACACACACACACACACACACACACGCTGAGTATTTCATAAACATCACATTTTCCAACAAGCACGCATACACGTCCCAGAGGCGACCATGAAGGCCATTGTATTTTCATTTAGTTTTCATTTTCTCCGAACTTTTTTATTCCCCCGGTTGACCTTATCGTCCCTTCCACTTTGTTGCAGAACATTTGCCCATATGTTCTCCTATTTCTCTCATGCAATTTCATTAGCAGGCGGGTTTTTCTCTGTAAATTGAAGAGAGAGACAAAGTGCAACTGCAAGCTCATACCTTGTATTTCGATTCAAGTGGTCATTTTGAAGGATAATCTGGCTACCTAAAAAAAAATTGACATAAAGGAATGATTTCTTACAATACTTGCCTTTTTCATCTGATGACATAATGCTACGTGTAAGCGAGGTTTGTAAGTATCTTCATGGATTGCATTTGCAGTCGGTGAAACCAAATATCACCACAAACCAAAGGACCACATCATGATGATCACACTCACAAAAACCTTTCACACACTTTTCCCAGCTGTTACCTCTGACATCGCGATGATCGATACACACGCTGTCCACACCATATTTGTATGGCTGTGTATGCATGGTGTGATTATAGTCTGTGTGTGTGTGTGTGTGTGTGTGTGTGTGTGTGTGTGTGTGTGTGTGTGTGTGTGTGTGTGAGAGAGCGAGAGAGAGAGAGAGAGAGAGAGAGAGTCACACACCCACACATTAACACACCCACACATTAACACACACACACACACACACACATGCACACACGCACACACACATGCACAGAGTTCAGCCGATTTATCATAATATGCTTTATCTGAAAAGTAAGTATCTTACCTCGGGATAAAGGGAGGAACGAGAGGTTTGTGGCCAGATTGACAGAGGAAGGGTGAATGCAGAGAATGGAGTACTGGCTGCACATGCAGGCACACAGAGCGGGACGTGCACTTTTTTTGGGGGCCGGATCGATCACTTTTGATAAGGTAACTGCTGTGGTACTGACCTATGGAGGTGTTGGTGGTGGTGGTGGTGGTGGGGGGGGGGGATGCAGGGCGAGACATTGTGTGTGACAGAGAGACATGGACACTGGCGAGCAGTCGTGCATACATGTGTGTATGTCAGGAGTAGTGGAGGCTGCAAATGCAGCTGCAGGAAAGCGGGGTGAAGAGTTGGATGTGGTGGGAAGGAGGGGTGCAAGTAGGAAGAACAGGATGATCAAACATGGCTGGAATAAGAGAGAGGGATGAGGAAGGGGGCTTATGGGAGGGGCCTCAGCGGAGTTTGCTGTAGTGTGAGAAGGATGCTTTTGTTACCTTCTACAATGAAACACTTTGATGTCTTGTATTGTCTTTATTATGTCTGCTGCCTCTGAGTTTTTTTTCTTTGAAACAGTGCGTTTTATTTTGAAGTCAGTGGACGTCAACTTTTCATCACAGTGAAGAGTAGCTTCGACCGCGTGAGGCCAAGCCCAATGTTCTCCCATTGCAATGCATACAGATCCTGGGTACGAATCTGGCTATGGCGTTCCCGTGGGGAGTTTGTATGTTCTGCCCGTGCTTGTGTGCCCATGCTAGGGGAATCGAAGGGTTTGAAGAACAGCTGTCATGCTCATGGCCAGATCAGACTGGGTACATCATTGTTTGTGGCCCACAAAAGCTAATACATTATAAGGTGTCTCAACTTCATTTTTCTTGCTAAATCTGTAATACAATTGCATTTTCACTCACTTTCCGATCCGCTTTTATCCTCACAAGTGTTGGTGGAGCCTATCCCAGCTGTCTTCGGGCAGTAGGCGGGGGACACCCTGAACCAGTTACCAGCCAATCGCAGGGACAATTGCATTTTTTGATCAATATTTAAAGATATTGCAAGCATTTAATTTCAACAAATCCCTTTTCAACATGAATGATACAGTAGATGTATTCTTGAACATTTGGTCATCATTCTGTTTTTCTTTACTTCTGATTTGCTGAAAAAAAAAACCAAAAAACCAAAATCATGATTCAAGGCACACTGTATCACACAATCCACTGCAACAGCCCATTTCCCCAACTCGTGTGTTTGTCGTAAAAATTAGCAAAGAAAGCTGCCCGTGGTAATTCTGACTGTCCTCTTCACTACAAGTGCTTCAAACAATAAAGCATGTCCCGGAAAAGTGGTTAGGACTGCGCGACTGTCCGTATTTTATGTTATGTGTTGTGTTTATTATTTTACTTTATGTTAACTGTTTTGTTAAGCGCTTTGTTACAGCTGCCGCTGTTGTGAAAGCGCTATATAAATCAGCATGTATTGTATTGTATTGTAAGTACACTTCCACATTGGGTTTTCGAAGCAGGCCATTGAAATATAC